GCAGTGATTGAAGTATGTCTGACCACAGGAGAAAAGATTTCATCATAATCTATCCCCTTTTGCTGTGAAAATCCCTTTGCAACCAGTCGAGCCTTGAATTTTTCCCTCTCTTTTTCTGATACTGCTGGTTTCCTTTTGTAGACCCATTTGCACCCATTGGTCTTCTTTCCCTCTGAAAGATGAACTAGCTCCCAAGTCCTATTTTTCTGCAAAGACTCAATCTCCTCAACCATTGCACCGATCCATTTTTCTTTATCATGGCTAGTGATAGCTCTTTGAAAAGTGGTTGAATCATCGCTGCTGATGAGAAGTGCACATGAGACTAAGTCTTCATAACTCAATCTGTTATGAGGTCTTACATTGGTGCTTCTCTGTCTATCTCTGACTAGATTGTAATTCTGTAGATCATCTGGAATAGAATCACCAGGTGTTGTATTTGAACTTTCATCTCTCTCAGAAGCTACTGGCTGTTGTTCTAAATCCATCTGCACTGCATCTGAACTGGAACTGCTCCCTGACACATTGTCTTGATTCTGTTGTAACATAAACTGTTCATCAAAAATTGCATCTCTGTTGATCACCATCTTCTTTGCAATCGGGTCCCAAAACTTGTATCCTTTCACATCTTTCTTGTAGTCCAGAAAGATGCACTTCTTGAATTTTGCATCAAGTTTGGATCTTTCATCTCCAGGTACATGCACATAAACATGACAACCAAAAATTTGTAAATGATCAAATTTAACTGGATTGCATGTCCATACCTCTTCTGCGACCTTGCCACCCAATGATGCTCGAGGTGATCTATTGATGAGATAGCATGCCATATTCATAGCCTCTGCCCATAAACTCTTAGAAAGCTCTGCATTCAGTTTCAAGCACCTTGCCCTTTCAGTTAAGGACATTTTCATCCTTTCTGCCACACCATTCTGCTGTGGTGTCTTCCGCACTGAAAAATGCCTCTGAATCCCATGCTCCTCACAGAACTTTTGAAACTGTGAATCTGTGTACTCTGTGTCATTATCAGACCTCAAATACTTCATCTTTCTGCCAGTTTGGTTCTCCACCTCAGCTTTCCACAACTTGAATTTAGAGAAAACTTCAGATTTTTGCTTCAAGAAATACACCCAAACTTTCTTGGAGAAATCATCAATAAAGGTGATGAAATACTGAGATCCTCCAAATGACAACTCCCTAGTAGGGCCCCATACATCATAATGCACATAATCAAGAATGTCTTCAGTTTTGTGTTTTTCAGTCATAAAACTGACTCTAGTCTGTTTTCCAGGCATATAGAACTTACAATGATCGAGCTTGCAGCTTTTAACCCCATACAACAGGTTTCTTATATGCAATTCTGTCATCCCACGTTTACTGAGATGACCCAAACGCATATGCCATAGCTTTGTACTATCATCATCTGACTTCACAGAATGAACTCCACCTACAACTGTACCACCTACAACTGTACTCCTACAACTGTACTCCCCAACAGTTTGTAGATATTGCATGCAATTAACTTTTTTTTCATCACCGTCAGTGCACCCTTAACAATTTTGATGGTTTCCCTATCCTCATCTGCCTTATGAATAAAACCATTTCTGTGTAGAGTGCCCAAAGAAATCAGATTCTTCTTCAAATCTGGAATATGTCTGACATCACATAACGTTCTAACTATGCTATCATACATCTGAATTTTGACTTCTCTATTTCCAACTATATTGCAGCATATATCATCACCCAAATAGACTGAGTCGGAAATAGTTGACCTGTATGAAGTAAATCACTCCCTGTTAGGTGTTATGTGATAAGAGCACCCTGAATCAAGAATCCATACATCCGTGAACTGAGTTGATGAAACTGAGAGCATATCGCCATCACTGCAATCTGAATTTTCACTCTGCACCACATTTACAGACTTCGATGAAGTATCACATTTCTCCCCAGTCTGTTTCTTCAGCTGTGGACAATCTCTCTTCATATGACCTGACTCCTTACACTTTTAGCAATGATTTTCTTTTTTGCCTCTAGACTTTGATATGGAATTTAGCCTTCCAGATCCCTCCTTCTCTTTCTTCCTTCCACGATCCTGCTTACCCTTAACATATACTCTTCACATATAAATTGTCACCGTGAGAGTTTTCCCCTGCATTCTGCTTCCGCTGGTTGTGAGCCAACAATGCTGCAGTAATCTCATCCACTTTGATTGTTTCTTTCCCACATGTCAGAGTAGTCACCATGTGTTCATAGGAAGAGGGCAACGAACACAATAAAATCATCGTTTGATCTTCATCCTCAATACTCACATCAAGTCGTGATAAATCAGTGATTATTTGATTGAAGTCATTAACTTGTTGCGCCAGATCAGACCCTTCTTGCATCTTCAACAATACAACTTTTGCTTCAGATACAACTTGTTCGTCAGAGATTTAGCCATAAACTGATTTTCCAATTTCTTCCTAACTTCTCCTGAAGGCCTGAAGGTTTCATATTCATCACGTGATACATAACCTCATCTGCTAGGCATAGTCGTATCGTCGTAGTCGCTCGTTGCTGCAATTCTTCCCAATCTTCATTCTCCATGGAATCAGGTTTTATTGCCCGCAAAGCTTTAAGGTTCCTTGTTGAGCCAACAGATCTTTCACCCTGGTTTGCCACAATCCGAAGTTACCAATTCCACAGAACTTCACCGCCTCAAATTTTGCACCAGAAAAAGCCATATGAAAATTGATCCAGCAACAAAACTTTTTTGCAAAAAATTCCTCTGCAAAAATCCTTGCTTAGATTTTTTTTTGAGTGCTGGAAATATCTTTGGAGCAAATATTTTCCTTCCCAGATCCACAGCCAACGACAAAGCTTTTGGAAAATCCTTCCTGCAGTAAAAGAAAATCAATACAGGGAATATTCCCCTTTTCTTTTTCAATTCCAGCTAAGCGTTGTTCTCCCTTTATTCCTTTCCCTTTTTTTTGACAAGTCTCCAAGAAAGCCTCCGCAGAAGGAAACTCCAGAAAGGAAACAGAGGAATATTCTTTAGTAAATCCCAGATTCTATGAGATTTTCTTCCTCTTCGCTATCTCTTCCGCGAATTCGCCTGCAAATTTTAAATTTTTTTTTCAGCAAAGGCCTCTACATGCAGCACTCGAAATCTTCCTGATTTCGGCTCCCCCGATCAAGAGTGAATCGCTAACAAAAATCTCACACGAGCGAACAGGAGTCTCCCGCGAACCGTCCGCTTCCGCTCCGAACGCCCCCAGTAGCCTTCCACACGAACGGAAGAACGCACCTTGCCCGATTCGCAGATCTTCGTGCAATCAGTAATCTGAAACTTGTCGCGACTCCTCCTGCAGCCTGCTCTTCCTCCGCCGCAGACTCCTCTTCTCCCCGCGCTTCCAAAAGGTTTTGCGAACGATTCATTCCTGCGACCTTCCCAACTCCCGAACCGTCTGCCCAGGCGACGAACGACTTTGTTTATGCTCCGTCCGCAAATCGAAAAACTTTCGCGAACAAATCCTCCCTTGCCTGCTCTTCCTCCGTCGCAGAACTTGTCTGCCAAAACGACGAATCCTCCTTCGTCCCTGCGCCGATCTCTTTTCTGCCCTTGAACCTGGCTCTAATACCACTTGTTGAGATATTAGGGAGAGGAAAAACTAGAACGACACAAATCCAGAAGAACATAGAGATTTAAAGAGGTTCGGCAAAGATGCCCACGTCCTCGGGAGCAGAGCGGCGAGTTTCCTTTCAATATTCAAAAAAGAGATTTACAGAAATCAGGGATACCTCTTGGGGTTACTAACAAGCCTATTTATAACCCCACGAGTAAACCCTAGACACAATATGCAATTACAATATTACCCCTGTACCATACCGCGGGGGCAAACCCACGTAACTTTCCAATTTGGACAGATTCTTCCGCTCCGCTCCACTCCGCTCCGCTTCGATCCAGCGTCTGTCCCGATATGGTATATGAGCCATACCATAACAAGCAATTAGGGCGAGGAAAAACTAGAACGACACAAAAACTAAGTCTGTTTGGCTGCAATATGAATTTACGTTAAATAGAGCTTATCAAATATGATTAATTCATATTTTATCAAAATGCAGAGAGTGGAAGAGTTCGTGAGAGATGTCAAAATAAATTCACCTAGCAATCAGATTTATAAATCCTATTTTACGTCGATAAAATGATGGAGCACAAGAAAATTTGATGTAATGGGGTGTTGGATTTAAGTTCTATTTTTTTATATTGGTTGGATTTAAGTTAAATCCACATGCATTTAAGAATCTTAATATACATATTTCAAATGAAACATATTAAGAAAAATAATAGAATATTTATGAGGCACACAAAAAATTCAATTTATGAGATATATGAAGAGTGTTTAGTAGTCTCTGAACTAGGGTTGTCAAAATGTCTCATTGTTCACGAATAGCTCGTGTTCAGCTCATTCGCTAAGTTAACGAGCGGAACACGAACAACACAAACAACACAAACAAAGATTAGTTCGTTCGTGTTCGGCTCGTTTTGGCTCGAAATACTACTAATCAATTATATATATATTTCTTTGATGAATAGTATTTTAAGAAAAACTTAATCGACTACAAGACTACAAATATTTATAATCAATTAAAAGTATTCATTAAGAAAATAGAATAAAAACTATTAAATTAGATTCAAATGATATTTTAATATAAACAGTAATTTTTAAATCTTGCTTAAATACTTAACATCTTATCACTACTTGATTAGGGTTGTCAAAACGACTATTTGTTCGTGAACGACTCGTGTTCGTTTCTCTAAGCAAATGAGCCGAACATGAACACACTTTTTGAGCTCAAAATATCAACGAGCCGAACACGAGCTGAACCTGCTCGTTTACACCCCTCCGTTGGATGTAATATTTTCTCATGAATGTGAGAGAGGAGTGTGTTCTATGTGCTTATTTATGATTTTAACGTGCAGAGCCGTAAATAAAGGAATTTAGAGGTGATATGTGTAAAATCATTTATTTTGTTTACTGTGTGAAGCCCCTGCTCCTGCAAATCATTCAGCTTCCGTCGTTGCTTCCGCTCCTCCATGGGCTCAGTAGAAGCTCTCGTAGCGCATATCCAAGGCCTTTCGGCAAATCCCGGCGAAATCGCTCACCTCCACGCCATTCTCAAGCAATCGGAGGAGACGCTTCGCGTGCAGGCGTCTCGTCTCGTCCCTTTTATCGAGCAACTCGATCCTTCCATTCATTCCCTCGGTTATCTCTATCTTCTGTGAGTTTCCTTTGCTTTCATCTATGTTATCCTTCCTTTAAGATCTTCCAAAATCGTCGTTTGTGGTTTTTTGTTTGATCTTCGGTTAATTAGCGATTTATGTACCCTTAGGTCATGAGTGCGGTCGATTTTTTTATCATAGTAGTTGTGAATCTTTCGCGTTAATCAAATTGGATTTGTGCTCTTCACTGTTTTTTTTAATTGCATTAAGCTGCCGGATAAGAACTGTTAAATGAATTAGGTTAGTTTCTTGTTTGGTGTCTTGAGGTTTTCAGGGGTTTAAATTTGTTAAGAATGAAGGGAGTCGAACAAACCCTTTTGGCATTTGTGTTTGGTTTGTGATCGACATGCTTTTGATGTTTGTCTTGTAGAAGAGTTTGGGAGAGAGTACAGAGTGCTTTTTTTCATCAAACATGATGGGAGTCTCTAACATGTCTAGTTTTTATTTATTTTTCATTTTTAATATGATATCTACTTGCAAGCTCTTACCTTTCTTTAGTTGAGCCTTTTTGTTTTAATCTTTCTTGGGTATTTTGGATGCTGGTTTAATGAATCGAACTATTTTGGATGCTGGCTAATGAATCAAACCTGTATGGACGATGGAATCATTGAATGCCAGTTTATAAATCATCAATCATCATATAGAAGCATAATAGGTCCTATCCTCAGTTCCTATTTCTCTAAATACATCCTGTAGATTTGCATGGCTTCATGGAACGTGGTTTGATTTTATTGTATGCAAAGTTTTTTAAGCAAAGTTTGGATGCTGGTTATGAATCAAACTATTTTGGATGCTGGCTAATGAATTAAACCTAGAAGGATGACTGAATCATGGAGTGTCAGTTTATAAATAATCAATCATCATATAGAAGCATAGCAGGTCCTTTCCTTGGTTCCTATTTCTCTAAATACATCCTGTACATTTGCGTGGCTTCATGGAATGTGGTTTGATTTTATTGTATAAAAGTCTGCTAAGCAAACTTTGTAACTGGACTTTATGAAGCGGGTGCATTTTTAGACGACTCGTTATTTCTCAAGCTAAATAATATGAAATTCCATCTTCTAAGTTTGGTTGTTCTAGTTAAATACTATAATTATGCATAGAAAACTCCTATTCTGCTGTACATCACATGCCATTCTGTTCTATTTTCGTCTCTTTTTTCTCCTTTGCTGTTGGGATGGGTTCTTTGCGTCGGAAAATTATTATTATATTCCTCAAGCATGAGCAAAACAGATTGTGACGTCAAAAGATTATGATGCTTTTTCAATCTTGATCAATTTATTACAACTTCACTCTGAGTGGGATCCTAGTGCGATGAAGTAAATAAATTATTAGATTTGGGATGTGATATGTGCATATTATATATTCATCTTGATATTACGAAATCACTTTCATCAAAACTATGTTTAGAGTGTAAAATGGACTGCAAGAATTTTGCGGTCCTACAGAAGAAAGTCATTATATTTCAGCCATGGTTTTCTATGCTTTTCTGTTATATAAAGCATTCACATTGGAAATGTCCTGCAATCTGTTTATCCTCAAAACTGCCTATCATGTTATTGTTGTAAGAGGAATGACATGAATATAACTTTTAGTGGTATAGAAGTCTTATTTTTGCCTACCAGTTACTGCAGTGTGCCTGTACAACTTGGTTTGGTTCTGCAGAACTCAGCGACATTCTTAAAGAGTCCTGTTTTATCTGTCTTCCAAGGTACTTCACTAGTGCAGCCTTATCTAGTGGCATGATCAACAATCCATATGAGTTGTTGCTTCTATTAAGCAATCATAAATTTCGTTTAAACTTATTTAAAAATTTCAATCCCTGAATCTGCATTAGTATACATCTAATTGTTAAGAAAAGTGTTCCTGACAATTTACTTTCTGTTTTAATATCCTTTTTTTATTTTTGAGGAAAAAACTTATTTTCCACTACTATTGTAGCTTCCTACGAACAGTGGTTTACTTTGTTAAATATGTTTTGGATTTTTTTTTTTTTTTTTTGCATTTTTAATTAAATTTTTTTGTTGGGGTTTATTTGATTAAATTATCTTGCTGTGGTTTATTTGATAGGGAAGCATATTCATCTGGACCGATTGCAAGCGAAAATATTAGCAGTTTCCTTGCATGTGTTATTGGATTTATCAATTTCTGCTCAGCAGAACAGATTCGTGTAGCACCTGAAAAATGTATGATATGCTCAATGGCCCTGAGCGAAAAATCAATTAGCTGCTCTCTTTTCAATTTTATTTTTCTATAGCTCTTAAAATGTTTTCGTAATGATCATTTTTATGCCTATTCCTTTCACTTTTCTGTAGTTATATCTGTGTGCAAGAGGTTCAAGGATCAAGTAATTCTGCATCAGGTGCCATTACAGGGGGTTGCTCCATTGAGGACCGCTGTTCGAAAGCTTCAATCTTCCTATGAGCAATTGACTGCACTTCATCCCGATTTCCTTCTCCTTTGTCTATTGTCAAAGTGCTACAAAGCAGGCACAAGTATTTTGGACGATGTCGTATTGGAAATTGATCAGCCCAAGGACTTTTTTCTGTATTGCTACTATGGGTAAGTGTATAGGTTGCCCTGAATTATACTTGTGTTACAATTCTCTCCTAAAAAAAATCCAAATACGATTGAAAACATGCAGATGGTGCGTTAGATTGAATTATTTAACAAACAGTAGTATTTTTAAATGTCATTGCTTCACCCTCTCTAAGATTTTACATAATCAGGATGAAGGTTTATGAATCTTGCTGTATATTTCTTATTCTATGATATTAACCACTGGATGTTGGGTTTACAATTTTTTATTATAAAACCATGCTGTATAAAATTTCAATATGCATGTGAAGTTGGACACGTTTTCCTTCATTCTTCCGTTACCTGACAATAGCTTTTTTTATTTTAGGAAGAAGAGTCAATCTTAGCTGCCATTTCATATCAATGTGTTTTGAATGTTTCTCCTGTGTATTATTCAATCATGCTTGCTGTCAGACCTCCATTGTCTAGGCTGGAACTTTTTCACTTCATTTGAAATTTGCTTACTTTTGATCTTGTTCTTTTGATAAATTTTGAATTTTTAACAACTTTGGATCATATATAGTTATGCTTGTTTTCTACAGTTCTACATGATGTACTTATTGAAGTTTCTTTGTATTTTGGTTTTAAGTGGTCATAAGAGGTTATTGTAGATTTGATGCCATATTTGTTCTAGAAGGCATACTTTTTGCTTCCACTAGAATAGCCTTGCATAGATGTTGGAATCGTTTAGCCGCCTGAATGAGGAATTTGCAAGAGGCCAGAGTTGAGAGGGGGATTTTTTACCTATTTTGAACATGTTTCAAAATTTGTTAATTTTGTGAAGTGGTTGTGGAATGAACCTAACAATTACTTACACATTTATTGAGCATACAGTGGTTCTATGAGAAAATTCTTTGTTGGGGTGTGGGGTGGGGGAAATGAACGTACTAGAGAGATGTAGAGAACCGAATTTCCATTGTACAAGCATACAAAAAAAGTATTTTTATATCATGCAACAAATTAAAATAAGCAAGCTGATTTACTTGTGTGTCTATGCATGCAACACAGCAAAATAAAAAATTGCATTCAACAGTTCAAATATAGAAAGGTTGATTTACTTTTGAGTGGGACAAGCTTAGCCACTCTTATAAAGGTGGTTTATATCTGATGTCATATATTACATTCTTTTACTTTTAAATAATCCTATAAACCGTTATGTCCTAGCAATAGTTTAATCTATGAACTTTTCGTTACTATGTGCTATTTTTTATGCATTGAGGAATACCAATTTAGTCATAGCCAAATTTAAATTCATCTTTTCTTCATCATCTAAATAATTCTTCTTTCTACTTGTTGATGATAATGCAGATTATTCTAAAAAAATCATGATTTCCATTTGGATGGTATTAGATATCATACTAGTGCCAATTGAAGGTGGATTTGGGTGAATAGCTTCGTTACCTTTACACAATGTATTGGAGTTCATAGATTTGAGGCTTGAATACTCCCTCGACAATGTTGGGGTAAGATTGTGTGCATAGACCCTCGATTGTTGCTTGTATAATAAGTTGATACTAGGCATTTATTGAGTATAATGAGAATTAATATGGTGCACATTCAAGAAGAAATGTGCATCTCATGCATTTTGAAGTTATTAAAGATTTCTATGATGAAGCAGTGGTTAGTTTGAGAGGCAATTATGGATTGATCATGAGCTTCCAATACTTCATTATCATTGCCCAACTTTTAATCAGATATTTCGATGCTTATAAAGAATATTCTATTCAAGGGGCCTTGGTGCATGCTTTTAGTTCTAATTAGTGAGATATTTATTTAAATAAGTGGAGAGTTAGGATATTGCAGAAAATGTTAAAAAAATAGAGTTTAGGATTAGTAGAATAAATGTTAAGTATGTAATATATAAGTTTAGTTGGTGTGATGTTTGTAATTATAAGTCATTTAGGTAATTCCTTGATGTGATACTTCTAAATATCTTGGATCTCTTATATAGAATGTGAATATAACTTTTATGAGTAAACTAGATGGCAAAATAGAAAAGTGACTCAAGGTTGCTATTGTTGAGTTTGGAGCTCCGCTTGTCTTCCCGCTCCCGCTCTTGTCGCGACCCCAAGTCCAGCTTCCGCTCCTGATCGCGAAACGTCGCGACCCCAACCTGCTCCCGCCTCCATTGTTTCTGCCTCTCCTTTTGTTTTCGCGAATCAGCGCTCTCTCCCACTCCCGCCTCGTGAAGAGAAGCGTGCTTCACACCTTTAAATTCACGAATCGGAGCCTCCCAACTTCGGGAAAAAAACTGCTGGTGTAAGTTATGGAAGGTAACAGAAGAGGAAGAAAGGTATTGTGAGGTATCGCACGGCTCTCATTCAGTTTTTTGCACGACCTTTTTGTGTTATTCTTCGAGCTTCCTCGGGATAAAGGAAGAGAAGTGCAAGGAGTAGTTCCTTGCGGCAAAAGGAAGAAGAAAGAAGAAGAAGATTGTTCTCCCTTGATTTTTTCTTGGTGGCTTGTGGTAGAAGTGAAATTGAGTTTATTTTTCTTGTAAGTTTATTTTCTTCGGTGTATCTCAGTGTAGAGAGAGAAGAAGAGAGAGCAAGGAAGCAAGAGATCCCTTTTGTAAGTCGAGACGATCGACTGGTGTAAATTCCTCAAGTAGTAAAATCCTTTGCAACTCCGTGAACGTAGGCAATCTGCCGAACCACGTAAATTTGTGTGTTCCGCTGTGTTACTGTTTTCTGGTGTGAATTTTCTCGTGTTATTTTTTCGCTTTCTTCGTCGATTGTTCTTCTATTTTTATATATACCACAACAACCATACATATTTGAGCGTTAGATAATTAAAAAGTCTTTGATAGCTGAGTTTGGGAGAAATGAGGCATTTAAATTGTCGTTTTGAAACGCTAGAATGGATAATTAAGGTATGATAATATTTGAGGAACAATAAGAGTGACATACATGAAAGATAAGGTTGTTGAAAGTAAACTAAGGTTGTTTGGACATGTTGATAAAATCAATGGCAGGAAAAAAAAAAAAAAATAATATATATATATATATATATATAATAGATTTAAGAGAACATGAATAGAAGTTGTTCAAACTGATCAGTAAAAAATACGTTTAATATGCTAGAGAGCACTCAATTGAATTGAATAGAGATCAGGATTCATAAGGCTGATCCGAACAATCGGAATTAGGCTAATAGTGATGAAAACAGCGTGGTAAGTGTATTGATTATTATTATTTTACCATTGTATATAGGGGTGAAACATATTGAAAAAATTCATGACAAGCCTTTGCACCTATAATATAATTTCTATTTTTTTATTGCATAAAATACATGCCTGAAGCGTACGACTTGCACTTTTTAGTATCGTGCAATATTTGAATATCAAGTGAAATATGCATTATTTTTCACTTGTATGAAGTTGATGCTTTTTTCCCTATGTGTGATGGTGAAAAGTATTTTACAATTCCTTGTTCTCTGGTGTTTTGATTCTTGTTTTACTTTTTGTTCTTTGGGGGACCAATTTGTTGTCACAATATTTTTTTTTAACTACGTTAACATAAGACTTTTTGGTTTTTTGTTTATTTTTGTACACGTTGATCATTAATTTTCTATTAGTTTCATGGTATCATTATGCCTTTTCTTTCTAATATAGTTGTGGAAGAAGTTTCACTGTTATATTTTACGTTACAGGGGAATGATAAATATTGGGCTAAAGCGATTCCCAAAAGCTTTGGAGTGTCTTCATAATGTGTGTAACTAGCATCCACTTAGCTTGCTAATTCTGCCTTCAAATTTATTTTGATGCTATTAAATGACAATTTTGACAGGTTGTTACTGCACCAATGACAACCATTAATGCGATAGCTATAGAAGCATACAAAAAGTATATTCTTGTTGCGCTTATTCATCTTGGGCAAGTATGCCGCTTTCTTCTTTTTTAGATGCATGTCATTGTATTTTGTTGTCACTTGTTATTTTTATTCTGACTTTTTCGTTAGGTTTCTTCTGTGCTTTTTAACTTAGGCAGAAAATACATTAAGGATTTTTATGTGTAATAACAAATGGGTATTTTCTTTTCACATATATTTATCTTCCAATTTACTTCAATTTGTCATCTGATATTTTTGGCTTAATTGATAAAGTTTACTAGAACTTGAGTTTTCAATCGAAGTGGGAGAAAATGGTTGAACAAATGAGGAAGGCCTTAGTTTCTCTAGCTTTCAGTCTTTGGAATTGATAAGTTTTAGAACTGAAATTTTTTATTCTTGCCTTAAGAGTAGATGCCATATATTGGGTTTGGAAGGCGATACACCCTGATGACATAGAATATGATGAAAGGATGTGAATGCATTTGGTTCTCCCAAAAAAAAAAATATTTTCTTTTTAAACAAAAAAAAAATATATTAATAATATTGAAATCAAGTAGGAATTTTTTTTTTCATTAAATCAATAAAAGTTACAAACACAATCCAATATAAAAAAAATAAAAAATCTACTAAAAACAACAAGGATAGAACTGATTACAACAACAACAACAAAGTCTTAATCACACTTAAAATTATCCAAACCCAAATAAAATATGACTGATACATAGACAAAAATTCAAAAAAGGAATCTATTGCGGAATAAGCTACTTTTGTGGTGACGATTCACCGAATGACCTAGTAGCACCTGCTATAAGAGATATTAATAAGCGAGTGACGAATCAAATTTAATAAATAAAAACTGTTTATTGAAGTATAAACGACAAAATACTGAGACATGCAATATGAATAATAAAAATAGATAAATCGGTGCCCTCAACTACAGTGATTTTGTAATAATAAAAAATTTTCATAGCTAAAATAGTCCTAATTTTAATTATGCTTATGATTAGGGATGTTAGTGAACCAACTTGGGCTCGACTTGATAAGTGGCTCATTAATTGAGTTTAATGAGCTAACAAGCCAAGCTCATGCCAGCCTTGACTTGACTCGTTAACTCATGAGCTGGCTCGTTTAATAAATAATTAATAAAAAATATACTTAAAATATATTAAAATTCAAATAATTTTTCGTTAAATTATTAAAAATAATTAAAAAAATGATATTTACATTTTATATCAAGTTCTTTCTTAAATACTCATTTTATTTATTGTTTTATTATAACACTAGCTTAAAGTAATATTTTTTTTCCTTTTCATGCTGAACAAGCCAACTCAAACTCTTATAATCCACCTTAATCTCAAACTCAATTAATTAATCAAAGCTCAAGCTCAAGCGAAGGGTGGCTTGAGCTCAACTCCCTACTTTTGATCATGAGTATGAGTTCTTTCAAACTATGTATTTTTATGCAAATATTTTTGTGCCACAATATTTGGTATACAGATAGCGTCAAACTGTTACACGCTAAAAAATCCGTGACGGTAGAACGATAATTTAACTTCTTATTATTGCACAAAGTTTCAGCACACAGATAAAAGAAGAGTAATGAGAGTAGAAGTCAATTTTTTTATATAAAAAATCCAAAAAAGAGAAAAAACTATAAGGACCGAGGTTCTCTCTTTACCTGCATTAAGAAAAATGGAATTATAAGTTATATTAAAATCATAACTACTTTGAAATAATCCAATAGATATAATTTTATAAAGATAGTTGGGACTATCACTATTGCAACATAACTACAATAGTCATGGTGGGGGCAATGTCAATTATAGTTGGCTATAAAAGTCATATTTAATTGTTATAACAGCCACAACAGAGCTACCAAAGGCATAGTTGAAGATTATCATAGTTGAAGATTACTAAAATTATAATTGGATAAAAAATCATTATTATATGAGGCTATAATAGTTGTAGTAGGGCTATCAAAGCCATAATTGATGGTAGTGAACAATGGCTGGTGGTTGATGGTGACCTTTGGTGATTGGCACCGAACTTTAGTGACTGGCAATAAGTGTCGAGACTTCAAAAGTTAAGCTTTAGTCAACTCACTCTCTTGCCTTTTATCTCACTTTCAAGTGAAGAATGAGGATATATTTATAATTTTTTAGATAGACACGGGTAAATTTGCTTTATCTCTCAAAACATTTCATCGAATGATCTACATTGATTTCTTTAGTCACTGGTAATTTGAACATGCGTCTTAATGACATAAAAAATGAATGATCTTAAGCTAGTCAAATTCCTCTTGTCAAGACGGTTGATTTGACTATAAGCACGCTAAACTTTGTCGAGACACTCAATTGAACTATAAGTATGCTAAATTTTGAGATTATTTAATCTTCCAACTGATGCATTGAAACATTCTACAACACTTCAAATGTTTGACATGGGCTTGTTTGGACTCGGATTGGATCCCTTTTGGCCTCATTAAATTTATCTTGTCGAGATGCTCTACTTGATTATAAACTTGTTGAAATTAAGGCTCGAATGATCTTTAATTTGAATTTAGAATGTTTCTAGCTCAAAATAAATTGATATTTGTGCATGGTGATAAAAATTTATTGGTGACACCTCAGGCGTACCGTTAATAATATTCCTATGACTTGCTTGTGATGGGTGGAATATACTCAATATTATAAAATATTATATTGGTATTAAGCCCTTCGTTGATGGCTAGCGAAACTGCCAAATCTTCTGAGAAATTATTAGATTTCAATGAGATTAGTGGCGCGCACGCGCACGCGCACACACACACACACATATAACTCAGGAGGGCTTGAACGCATTCGAGCCTCCAACCAACCTCAACAAATAATTGATGGGTCATTGGTGAATATGAATAAGTATACCTGATATTGTGGCACAAAAATATTTGCATAAAAATACATAGTTTGAAAGAACTCATACTCATGATCAAAAGTAGGGAGTTGAGCTCAAGCCACCCTTCGCTTGAGCTTGAGCTTTGATAGCCAATCACTAAAGTTTGGTGCCAATCACCAAAGGTCACCATCAACCACCAGCCATTGTTGACTACCGTCAATTATGACTTTGATAGCCCTACTTCGACTATTATAGCCTCATACAATAATGATTTTTTATCCAACTATAATTTTAATAATCTTCAACTATGACTTTGGTAGCTCTGTTGTGGCTGTTATAACAATTAAATATGACTTCTATAGCCAACTATAGTTGGCATTGCCCCCACCACGACTATTGTAGTTATGCTGCAATAGTGATAGTATCAACTATCTTTATAAAATTATATTCATTGGATTATTTCAAAGTAGTTATGCTTTTAATATAATCTTATAATTCCATTTTCCTTAATGCAGGTAAAGAGAGAGCCTCGGTCCTTATAGTTTTTTTCTCTTTTTTGGATTTTTTACATAAAAAAAAATTGACTTCTACTCTCATTACTCTTCCTTTATCTGTGTGTGTTGAAACTTTGTGCAATAATAAGAAGTTAAATTATCACTCTACCGTCGCAGATTTTTTAGCGTGTAACTGTTTGACGTTTTCTGTGGGAATTCAACTTCTTCAATGGCTCATAAGTGTACACTAGCAGTAACGAAGCCTCTCACTCCGACACTCATGATTCTAGGGAACGATCTGGAAGCCAACATGTCGGGTCTCTACTTTTGTTTTACAAAATAGACATTACTAGCGAAGACACCTCTTTTTTACCTTTGGAGGATCATGTATGTATAATGGAGGAATCTCAAAGTAAGATTCTTCAACTCTTATACGAGGCTTGAAAATCGACATTAGTGCCAACCGATGGTGCTTGCTTACCATAATATCAATCACTGACTAGAAATGCCCAACTCGAAAATACTCGTCCATGACTCTGTCCTCAACCTAGGGCTGTGAAATTGGTTTGAAGATCATAAATTACTTGAAAATTGGATCGAATTTTAGCTCGGATCATGCCATTCGAGCCGAGCTACGAGCCAAATTAAAGGTTCGATCTGTCCTCAGCTTGGATCGAGATTGGATCTGGATCAAAATAAATTCTTATGTATTTACATATTTAACTCCTAAACTTTTAGTTTTACATGCATAACACATTGCCAAATTAGTTGATAAGGATCTTTTGCTTGAACGGAGTGGCAGGGGTTCGAATGCCCTCTTTTTACAAAAAAAAATTGCAATTTTTACTGGTATGCTGACCTGGTGGGCCAAGGAGAGTTCGAGTCGGGCCAATCTGGTTCACGGGCATTCCAGACGACTTGTTTACAATTCGAGCTGGCTCAAAAATCGGATCAATTTACACTGAATTAGATCGAACTTTAGTAGGATCGACCCACAATTCAATTTCGATCCGGTTAAAAAAATTTTGATTCAATTTCGAGCTGGTCCTAGATCGGCTTAAAATCAGATTGTTCGCACCCCTATGTCAACTTGACTAGAAAGATAACAACCTTGATACTGCCAATTCACACACCCATCTTCCTCATCAGCCTCAAAATCAGCTCATGTTGTCACTTCCATCAAAGTCATGATCATTATCATCTAGTCATGTCATTAACTTAAGAAATAAATTGAAAGGCTAATTCGGTAGGGGCTGATTTATAGAAAATAATCAAGCTCATGTGGATAGCACCTCACTAAGGGCAACAAACTCTAAAGGAATAATAAGAAAATTACTAAATTTCATTCATGAGTATGACTGCAATCAATTTTTCAAGAAAAAGTACAGTTCATCTTGACCTACATCTCATACTCGAGAAACACTATATTTTTAGCACAAAATTGTGGGTTTAAGATCTAGGAAACTCGATTCAAACTCTTTCACATATGTTAAATTTGTCGAGCTATGCTCCGACCAACAACCAAGGACAAAACAAAAATTCTTAATGGATTACAATCGACCTTGTTCAAACAACTTAATGTTGTCAAGCCACACTTTGACTAAAAAACTATGATAAGTCAATTTTTTGGTGGATTATGTTAGGTCTCGTTCACACAGATTAGTATTGTCGAGCCACACTCCGACAAAAAATCTTGGATAGATAAAAAATTTTCGGTGGATTACAATTGATCTCTACGCACTCAAATTGATGTCATCGAGCTCCACCAACAATATAAGACTAGTCAAAAATTCTCTATAGATCTTATGATCTCTTTCACATAGGTTAATGTAATTGAGTAATACTCAGACAATCTCAGAATTTCTAACATCCTTGATTTCTTTCTTACAACATTTTTTAAACAGCTTAACGTCGTCAAGTAATATTATAAAAAATAAATTCAGATAGGTTAAACATACTTCCTAGATTTCTCATGGTATCTCATATACATATTATCTCGGATACGTCAAACATACTTGATGGATTTCTCATGGTATCTCATATTCATATTATCTCGGATACGTCAAACATTCTTAAGGAATTTCTTACTTTTCATTCTAAAAATTTTAATGTCGTCGAGTCATACTCCGACGAAAAACCTTAGATTTGTCAAAATCTCTTTTGTGGATTTTTCATGGTATCTTATATACATATTAATGATGTACAAATGACCTCAGATAGGTTCAAATATCATTAAGGAATTTCTTATGATATTTTTTATAAAGATTAATGTCGTACAAATAACTTGGCTGTTGCTTGATTCACACCATTGGATCATCGCTATTTATATGCTTTCATCCAATAATGAAACACATTTGGTTCCGCTCTCTCATATGGAGACTTGAGGCTTAAAAATGAGATTCAAAGAAACTCTGAAGACTTCAAGAATTTTTATGCTTCAATATTCCATCGAGTTCAGGCTACTATTTCCTTACTACTAATATCATCAGATTATTAGTGCTTACTATTGATGTCGGTTCCCAATACCTACAGGCTATCACTATCTTCAAACTGTTATTGAATTGGTGTTTCCTGGCTATCACCAACACTACCATCTAACCTATACTCTTAGACTGTTAAAATGGCTGGATTTCTATCTTCAATCTGTTTATGTTTGCCCATCATCTCTTAAATACATTCATTTATTAATGTTCATTAATCTTATTGCATGTCAACATTAACGTCATTGTCTGCTAACATTTTCATCCAGCATCATCCATGAAGCTGATGTTGACCATCAGTGTCGACATCAGTGATACATTTCGTTGACACACGTTACTCCTTATTAAACTAGTGCATGTCAAAAACGAGCAATATTATTTTTTAATATTCACATTCATAAGGCAGTTTATAGGAAGTTAGTATTGGATATTATTCTCACTAAAAAGACCTCTTGAGGGTAAGTGACAAATAATGCTCCACTTATATTCGTAGAGAACACGCTCATGGGGTAGTCTCAACTGGAAGTTAGTAATAAGCATAATCCTGACTATAAAGACCCTTTGAGGGCAAGTAATAGATAAAGTCTCTACTCATATCCTTGAAAGTTACGTCCATAAGGTAACCTTGATAAATAATAGATAAAGTCTTTACTCATATCCTTGAAAGTTACGTCCATAAGGTTATCTACTAAAAAGATCTTAGAAGATTATAAGCCTTAGAATGTACATGTACATTCTAAAATCTTAAAATGTTCCAAGTCTCAAAAGGTATAATTACACTAAAGAAAATCTCATAAGTTTATAAACCTCAGTATCTTATAAGCTTCATAAGGTACATATACACTTTAAAAAAAAAAATCTCAAGAGATTATAAGTCTCAGAAGATAGAAATACATTAAGAAAAAAATCTTGACATGCACTAGTTTATTTAAATGGTGAAAGAGATGAGGGGTTATATGACATTTTTATATAAATATGGAATAAAAGCAACCATCTTTATCCTTGTTTGACTCACTTTTTAATCCTAGGTAACTTGTAATTAATCCTAGCTTTAGCCCACTTCATTATTATTGGATGCATTTTTCATTAGATAATATAATCATACCTGGCTAAGTGAAGCTCCAAAACATATTTTTTTAACATAATAACATGGATATTAATTTTGAGTAACAATGTTTGAAATTATTTTTCCTAAACATTGAAAAGTAAGAGCAAAGATAAATTTGGATTTAATTTTTTTTACTATGGTATTTTTGTTAATTATAAATGTATAGCTCGTCGATTAAAAGGTGTGGGAGAACTTTGGTGTATATTTACTTACGGGACCATGACTATAAAGTTTGGCTTCTAAACTTTTTTTAACCATATACTTCATGTTGTTACAAAAGAAAATTGAGTACATATTTTTGTATTGATTTATTTTAGAGCGATATCACTCTTCAACAGGGTGAAGAACTGGTATATCTGCACCATAATCTCCACCATTTACCTAGGAGCCCAAAGTATATTCATGGACAGATTTTGTTCTGTGATATTGTGTGGATACGTTAATTACGATAGATGTCATTGAAATCCTTGAAGTTGCTACTCTCTCTTGATAAACTAACTTTGAAAACTATATTTGTTTTCTTGATGAAGTTGTGCTCATGAAGAGAGCATAAGATCTAGTGCTGATGATGATCTAGTTTTTAGTGCGTTAACTTCAGTTAATCATGTGCCATCACTATGCTCATATAGTTATATTTTGTTTGATTAATGCTACTTCTTCTAGAAATTTTGACATTCTGTAGAATGTTATTGGCAAATATGTGATAATGGTTACAAAATGCTAAAGTTGGCGTGTTATTGACTAATGATAATTAATGCACTTGACAAGATTTTGAAATATAATTGCAATTTGTTATTGTTAAGCTTCTTTTTTTTTCTTAAATGATTTATAATGATTTACAAATCATTTGTGAAGCTTCTTATATGAAGTATTTTATATTATATTTAATTGTTTGACGCTTTAATAGAAAATACTCTTATCATATATTTTAATTATATTTTGAATATTAATAACTTTATAAAGGATAATATTGTATCCATAACATGCTGTGCCCTACTATTTAAATTATTCTATGATGTTCTGTCTATGCGTCTGCTTCATAGATTAACTAGAACATGATAGAATAAAGATGTTTTCTTCCTCTTTGTTGCCTTTTTAATATGGTAGTCCAATGTAACTCTAACCAACCTTTCCTTTCTTTCTTAAAATGGGAAGATAAAACTTTTATGTGCTCCACATACTCTCCATTTTTTAACCTGCAGAAGACGAACTTGTTGATTGCCAAATTTTTTCACCTTTGAAATTTGACAAATGTGCTTTGAAATCTTAATTGATTATCGTTGATAATTGCTTAGATTTAACTTTTCTCTAAAAGTGAAGTAGTTTTGTATTCAATTAACTAATTTTATTCTACAGATTTTATTGCTGCCAAAATATACAGCGTCAACTTTGCTAAGAAGTCTTAAAAGTTATGCTCAGGTTTTCTAAAATCTCTCTCTTTTGAAGTTATGAAGGTGTTTCATATTCTCTGATTAAATTATGTTATGATTTCATTTCTTTCCTTGATAACATAAATGTATCTAATTTATGCAATTTCATTACTTGATTTTGTTGTGTCCTTGCCATCAAAGCATCAACATTTTAGTCCATTTTTGTTTCCTTCTTGGAGTTAGTTATTTCATCATTTACTGCTAGGACTTTGATTATTAAGTCATGTGATAAAGTGATCCGTTAGCATTTGAGGAAAGACTGTAGGGCAATGTGCCCTTGCAGAAAGGAAAGCAACATGTTGTGTTTTGTATTTTCTTGTTTACTCAAATCTAGCAATCTCACTTGAATTTGCCGATGGAGATATATAGTTTTAACAACAAATAATGATGTTGGCGTTGATGGTTGAATCATTAGGGCAGCAACCAGTGATGGTGTAAGAAACGGCATCACTGTGATGTTAGAGTGCGTTATTGGAGGCGTGGTCATTGTGGAAGCAATGCTGGCTTAGGTTTTGGAGGGATTTTTTGGTCATGTTGACATAGTTAGCAGTAGTTCTGAAGTGAGGGATACTGCAGCACTCTCTGTGAATGAAGACGACTTCGTGAAGCATTATTTAAGATATGGTATGAATTGCTTGATTTGATAAATGGCTTATGTATTGGTTGGGCTGAAATGTTATTTTAAGAGAAAAATGGAGAAAACAACGTGCAGGGCTAAATTTGTTTTGTTGAAATTATTCTATAAATTTTAATGCAAAGATTTTTTTTTTTTTAAAAGTAAAAAATTTTATTTGTAATCTAATATCTCCACTTTTGATTGTAATCAAGTAGATTTTTATTCTTCTCAAGTATTTTGTGGTTGCTTTTGCTAGTTCATATGCTATTATAAGATAAATATATTTTTTTCCATTACATCTGTCTTTTCTATGAATACTCTGATACACCATCTAACTATTACCTTTAAGTCCATCTAAATCACCACGAATAATTATGCTTTTTTACTCGGTCTTACAAATAAGATGTGGGAAATCAAAGAAATTATTTGTATTTCACTCCATCTCTTGAATTGATCATGCAAGGTATTATATAGGAGATTAAAATGAAAAAAACTAGGAAAATATTTAACTATTTCCCTTAATTTAAGGGATTACAAATTTATTCTAATTTCCTTAATTTAAGGGATTTACCAATTAATTTTAATTTCCTTAATTAAGGAAATTAGAATTAATTCTCACAACTTTGTTTCCATCTCAGTCACATCTCGACACTCCCCCTCAAGCTGAGGAATAGATGTCTTCCATTCCCAGCTTGGATACAAGATCATGGAAACTTGAATTGTTCAGCCCCTTTGTTAGAACATCGGCTAATTGTCTTTCTGATGGAACATAGGACATACACACTAACCCTTCCTCCAGTTTTTCTTTGATGAAATGTCTATCAATCTCAATATGTTTTGTCCTATCATGTTGTATTGGATTATGAGCTATATTAATGGCAGACTTGTTGTCACAGTAGAGCTTCATAGGACCCTCCCATGGGATTCTTAAATCATCCAAGATGATTCTCAACCATAGTAATTCACATAATCCTTGAGCAATAGCCCTGAACTTTGATTCTGCAGATGATCTTGCCAGTACATTCTGCTTCTTGCTCCTCCATGTCACTAGCTTACCTCCAAGAAAAGTACAATATCCTGTAGTTGATCTTCTATCCACTATGGAGCCAGCATAGTCAGCGTCAGTGTAGGCTTCCAGAGTAAGAGTGTCATTCCTTTTGAACAAGATTCCTTTCCCCGGAGTGCCTTTCAAGTAATGCAATACCCTGTAGGCAGCCTGAAGATGAGGTTCTCTAGGATCATGCATGAATTGACTGATCATACTTACAGAATATG